TTTTTTTTTTTTTTTTTTTTTTTTTTTTTTTTTTTTTTTTTTTTTTTTCTAATTTATTTCACCACACTGCGAGCGAGAAGAATGAGTTGGGAAGGATGAGCAGTAGCCAAATAAACTGCCGTAAGAGCACCAAGGCTTCCCTGACTGGCACCAGTGTAGAGACTGAAAGGATTGGCGCGAACCTGTCTTCCCCTTTATAGAAGAGCCCATCTGTCAATAGCGGGCTTGCCCTCAGTGTGGAGGTTGGATTGACCATTATAAAAAGGAAAGAAGTAATCTTGCACAGTAACAGAATAACAAACTGGCCTTAATTATAATAGGTGGCTTTTGAAGGTTAATGGCTTATTCTTAAATACAGCGACCACTCCTGCAAATCCACAATGATGACTAGGCTGCGGCTTATTGTACGACTTGGATGTGGTGACCACATCCAAGTCCGCAAATTGCGGATATTGGATATCATCCCGATATCCAAGTCCAACTGCGGATATCCATTGGACATCCAACGGTATATGTTGGATACCCAACAAATATCCGCACCAGTATAAAATTCGCTAAATTGTCCTATCCAAGACTATCAGGTGACATTTATGAAGCTGACAAACGGAGCGGTGTATAACCATGCATGCGGCTTTTGCGGATTCAAGTCAGAGAACCCAAAATCCGCTCCAAACCGCTCCAAATGCAACTCCACTGGCAGATTCTGAAGAGAATATCAATATGATACAGGGAAATGATTCCAGACTTATATGGAACTAAATCAAGCTGTAGGCGTACCATATTTAGCGCTATAGATATAGAGAAATCGAGAAAGGAATAGTTAAAGAATGAATAATGACTACTAGTTAGGTGTTACGGCGCTCTACTAGGATAGTGGAACATCCAGCTCATAGGTTCTACCTGGGTAGCTATCGACGAGAATAATCAACATGAGGAAAAAAGAGAGGAGGTAACGCCGTATTTATCAACAAAGCAATAAAGCAAACAACTTCACCTCACGTGATACCCAGCCAACGTGACCAGGCTGTCACATTAGGCAGGGTGTTTATACAGGTGCAATAGAAAGCGGTGAGCGTTTGCTATTAAATTTTGGTTTTTGCAATTGTGTTACTATAACCTGCCGTATGTGTATTTACTCCTGAGCCCCCACTGTAGGCTCGTTCATAAAGCCAATCCGCCAACTGACAATACGCTTGGATTGGTGTTGTACCCTGATCCTCACATATTCTTCACACTTTCAAAGCATTTGAATAATAAATAAAAAGCTCGAAATATTAGATAAATATTGTGCTGCTGAGGACTGCCCTGGAAAACGTTGCAATGGACGACAAGAAGCTGCTCCGCAAAATTGACTGGCACCTCTTGCCCATCATGTTTTTGACGTACTTCTTGCAGATGATTGACAAGATATCTATCAACGTATGTACAATGATTTCCAGCATTGATGTGTTCCTAGTTGACGAGTTCAAGTATGCAAACGTGATGGGTCTCCAGGACGACTTGGGGATGACTGGCAATGATTTCTCCTGGTTGGCAACAGCCTTCTTCATTGCATATGCTGTGGCAGAGATTCCTCAAGGAGCTCTTTTGCAGCGGTTTCCAGTTACAAAAGTGCTTGGAGCCAATATTTTCTGCTGGGGTGTGATTCTGTGTTGTTCTTCTGCCGCGAGGAACTTTTCCCACATGCTCGCCTTGCGAATCTTGCTAGGGTTGATGGAGGCTGTCATCGGTGAGATAATCCGAAAACAACCGATGATACCATGCTAATGAACTCCGTTCCAGGCCCCTCTCTCACAATGTATACGAGCATGTGGTATACTCGTGCGGAGTCAACACCACGTTACGGATTTTGGTACTGCGGCTTGGGCGTCGGGCAGATTATCGGTGGGCTGATCTCTTTTGCTGCCCAACATGCCCCGGCAAATATGTCATTTGTTGGCTGGCGCATTATGTTCGTGGTTATAGGTGCTGTCAATGTCTTGGTTTCATTGCTTGTCATGTTCCTTCTCCCAAATACCCCAGATAAAGCCAAGTTCCTCAACGAGTTGGAAAAGCAATGCATTGAACAGCGGCTGACCGACGATCAATCTGGCGTGGGTGTCAAAGTCTTCCGGCGGTGGTCAGTTCTTGAGGCATTTGGAGATCTCCAGACCTGGCTGCTCGTCTTGCTCACTATCCTCATCACAATCCCAAGTGGTGTGATCACAACCTTCTCCTCGATTTTAATCAAGGGCTTTGGGTATAGCCCTAAAGCAAGTGCGTTACTCAACATGCCTTCTGGGGTCGTGAGTATTGTGGCGACTATGGTCTCTACGTACGCAATATCCAGGGGATTTTCGCGTTGGCTGGCAATTGACTTACTACTTCTTCCAACACTAATAGGGTCTTGTTTGATGTCTTTTCTCCCCTCTGAGAACCAGTCTGGCTGCTTAGTGGGTATCTATTTAGTCAACACGGTACGTATCTGGAGAATCTTTAGCAGACCCGAATGGCTAAACCCGGATAGACTGTCGCTCCGTTGGCCTTGATTTATGCATGGACTGGTGCCAATTTTAAAGGATACACAATGAAGGTATATTATCTCCTTCAAGCTATACAGTTCTTTGCTGATTATTGTAGGTTTCTGGTGCAGCGATTGTCTCTGCTGGATTTAGCATTGCGAACATCATCGGACCCCAAACTTTCCAGGCTAAGGATGCTCCTCAGTAAGTTGTTAAACTGATTAGACCAATACGTATCTAGCTGACTATCGCACTAGGTATATTCCGGCAAAAATCACTATTGTCGCTGTAAATGCTGCCGCAATCATAGTCTCGACTGCCTTGCGCATTGTGTACGGGAGGCGCAACTCTACTGCAGATCGGCTGGGTACGCCAGCACGTAGTTCGATAGAATCACGTTTAACTAAAAAGGGAGAAGTACAAGATGTCCATGATGAAAGTTTCCGCTATGTATTTTGAGTGGAACGTTATTTTAGCGCGTTGGTTCTGCATCTTGACCTATATTGAACTACATATCTATCCTAAATGATTTCTGTTGGTAATCTAATTCTCACAGTTGCCGCTCTCATGAGGATCAGGCTCAAGTTCAGTAAGACACGGCATGAAAAGTCCATCGACCGTTGCTACACGGGCACAAATTCCATGGTCAGTCACCAGTATTCATCAGCAAGGCCGTTTCATGGAAACCTATTCATCCTCCGGTTAGGTTTAGAGAGTGACAGAATTCCTAGTATGAGACTCTGTATCACCTTTTTTGCAGATCTTGAAGCACTGAAAATTTGCTGTCAGAGTAGCATCAAACCTGGGACTCATTTGAGAAAGAAAAACCACAAGAAGTCATCTTGTTAGATGGCGGAGACCAGGATCTGACCACCGGTTCGGTGTGGTATTGTTTGACGGCAGATTTAATATCGCTGAAGAAGTGACCTGCCGCTTCTTCACGCTCAGTAACTCATTATCCATAGTTAATGTTCAATTGGTTGGTCTGACTTGTGGGCTGCCTCGATACAAATGAAATAATTGATCGCGGGGCTAGATGAAGTCATATATACCCCATCATGATCTGAATCACAACTCCCAGAATTCCATTATGGGTGAGATAAGTTTGCGCTCTCCCGTTCAGTCACATTGCGCGCTGGCTTATTGGTGAGAGCTGATTGAGTGGGTAGACGGCGATAAGCTATACAACAGCCTATTTAGGGTTGGGTGGTGTTAGTCTCCACGCGACAGATTGCATATCTTCCCGCAGCGCTTTCAATATACCTGACGGGGCCTATCTAGATACTCAAGTCTTCCATACTTGTTATAGATTATCATGGTTTGTATCTTGTGTGCTAGCTATCTATATTAACTTCTGCGACGGATGTTCGATGATGCTTGGGCGTTGCAGCGCCAGCTACGACAACTAGCCGCGCGCAATCGAAAGCTAACATTTTGATAGGCAATAGCATTAGAATGAGTCTAGTGTGCTCTCAATGGACTACATTTGTCGTCTAAGGGCTGCTTTTGCGAAAATAATTATTATATTGCCAATGAACGAACAGTATAGATTAAATCCAAAGTAATTGCGCAGTACGTCAGTCCATGAGATAATATGACAAAGATCAATAGGCCTTCAAACCCGCCAATCTCAACAATTGGTCCGTCATCCCAGGCTTGTTCAACGGCTCACTGCGATCTTTGGGATCTATAGTCCCATCCTCTCTAATCGCCTTTCGCTCTCTGGCGACAATATTATCATGTGGCCAATGAGTCGTTCCTCCCCATTGCCTGAAAATCTCCGCCTTTGTTGCCAAAGCTTCCTTTGTGGCAAAGCTAGCTGGAGTATAGGAAGCATAGATAACAGTGCGAATCACATTGCTATTCTTCGTAGGTTCGGCGCCATAGTGAATAAGACGGCTGTCCCACATGATCAAGTCACCTGGCTCAGCACAAACTTTATAAGGCTGGATTCCATACCACTCCAGCTGAGAGTCACTGAACAAGTACAAATCTTTCTTACTCCAGGTAGCTTCATCGGTAGTCGTGTCGAAAAATTGTTCAAAGAGTCGATGGGAACCAGGATATACAACCAGGCCACCATCCTCCGGACCAGCGTAAGAGAGATTGATGATACCCTGGACACACTGCAAACCTCTTCTGAAGGGACCCTGGTCAACATGCTGCCAAGCACCTTTTCGCGGCACGTCTTTGCGATTGGGCAGCGTGACATTCAGACTATCAAAGCTGACAAGCAATTCATCTGTGCCCCAGAGTTTGGAGAAAGCCTCAAGGACCCCGGGTTCTTGTCGAGCCTCCCAGATGAACTTTTCATGCATGACTGCATAATTATGAAACGTGTTGATTTTTGACTGGATAGGCAAATTTTCTTTCACCCAGGTTTTGGGATTCTCGAGGTCCAGGTCCGTACCGAAGGAATTCAACCACTCAAATGCTCTTTGCTGATAGGCGATAGCCCGGGCTTTGGGAATTGCATTTTTGATCACAATGTAGCCACTATTATAGAATTCGTCGAGCCAGTCATTTGTTTCAAGCTGTGGAGCGCTTTTGTACATCAGCAAGACCGCGTCAGCAAACAGGGTATAACATAGCGTACCTCGCCAATAAGGCTGACTGGACTGGTAAGATAGCCATTGTATCAACAAATACTGGGTATCTAGAAATAATATTCCGGGTAATTTGCTATAATCAAGAATTTGCGAGAGAAGAACTGATGGCAGATTCATGATATTTATATCCCGGTGAATTGGGCAGGGGCTGGATTTATGCCAGGCTTGTATAGCCGCCGGAACAAAAATTCGAATGTCTTGAATACACCGTCGTATAGCCATGCCGGCTTCACCGAACTCGGACTTGCCATTATCACGAATCAATCCCGTCATTTGAAGCAGCAATTTGGTCAACACCCCTGCATTTCATTACATATTTCCCTCCCCCACTCTTTGATAAGACCAGAACAATATCATCCACGGAAGCTCCTCCCGAGCTATTAAAAACCAATCAACATTGAATGAGATGCTGGAGAAATGGGTTTAGGTCACCATCGACCACAACGAGAGCTCGCGAAATAACATTTAGGAAGTGATCGATAGAGCTCACCCAGCCATCGCTGCAAAAAAAAAAAAAATGCGAAAACATACAACAGCCGGGATTCGCTGGTGGTCACCCACCCAACTACTAACCGGCCGGCGTGTGGCTTAAGTACGGCTGAGCGGACGGGAAGCCCTGTTCTCCACACCCTATGGTCGTATGTGCTTGGTTTTTAATTAAGGCAATTGATATCGTTATGGTCTTTCCAAGTAAGTTGTATTGCCTGAATAATAAATAACCCTACCAATTTCCATCTGTGATAAATACGGTTAAGATGGTGGCATCCCTATTGCTATAACGTTAGGCTTCGGAATAAAAAAAAAAACATCAAGTTTCACTTACGCCGCGCCTCCCAGAAAGATATCAATAGTACTCGGCTTGGCTAGTCCAGTCACAATTCCCAGAAGTATGATAATAGACAACCGTAATGAGTATCTTTGGGAATGTTTTATGAGCAAAGCTGCATATTAGCATTGGAACAATTAGTAGAACAGCAAGGAGTGATATAATCAGTGTCCACGCCAGCTTCGTAGACAACGATTCGGAGAAATAAATATGTTTGCATCCCTAGATGATCTGTTGCAAAGTTTCTGTAAGTGCATGCATTGGTTTAGGCCGCAAGATAATAGATAGGCTGGATTTACGCGATAAAAGCCTTAAAAGAAATGGATCGAGGCGTTTTCGACCAATGTTTCGAGTCGTTTCACGGTATTATCGTTGTACGAAGAGAGACATTTTACACCGTGGCCATGTTTCAGTAAGCTTACTCGGTTCTAGTGATACATCCAGTACCATCGATCCAATTCTGCAGACTTGATACATCTCGGGGATCCGCAGCTTCAAGCGGCAGTGTTCGAGATGTTTGCTGGATGAATCAATCTATACATTTATTCTTTTACTGAGAACCCGCAAGTTTTATCTAGGGACAAGCACACTAACCATAGTCTAACAAGGCTGTGTCGATCTTGGATACAACAGAATGACGCTCTTCATTGCGGTCGAGTCTAGTGCTTCCAAGTAATAAAGGAGCAGCCTCGTTTTTATCGATTCTTCTGACCTCTTCTCAAATACGGCAATCCGATCTTGCTTTAAGAGGAGTAAGCGAGCACGTAAGTTGGAGAATGAGCGACAGACATGAAAAGAGTCGTGGGCTGCGGTAAGTGCAGAGAACCTGGGATAGCCAGCAGGAGATAAATCAACTAGATTAACATAGATAAGAGGGTACTAAATATATAATATGCTTCAATCATACTTTGTGATGTTTGCATGTCGCAAGCATCGTTTTCAACATCTTGATGTGGGAGCCCCGCCAGGTCAAAACGGAACTTCTGGAGCATCGCTACCGCGTAACAAGTGCGTGCTGGTTTTCGATCACTCATGTTCTTTAGAGTTTGTGAAGTATATCTATGCATGTTCCATTCTTAATTCTGCAACACTTTTTTTTTTTTTTTTTTGTAGTTAATTGATAGGTGCCAGACTGTCTTGAGTCTCTATCTTTCTGCCAGATCTCTGTTTAAATCTTTTAGCACAAGTCAAAAAGTCAAGTCTATTCTTATTCTAACGGAGTATGCATTGTGTTTAACACGCAGCCTCTCGGCTAACATGGCACTTCCACAAATGTAAAACAGAACACTACTCTTGAAAAACATAAAAATGAACCAAAAATTCCCGAAGAATATTTACTCCAAAATATACTTTCTGCGACGATGATGACGGCTGTGGCTATATTGCACCATATACTGAAGTAAGCCCCAGGGTCCATTCAGATAACAAAGACTACTTTTTTACAGTAGGGATGCCAATTTCGTGTTGGTGATTCGGTGATGTTTAATGCCGACAGTTGTCAGGGAATAGAGAGCCCTTTCATCATTGAACCTGTCCCTTAAGCACGCAAGTATGCGTTTTGCCATGCGGATGGCTGCTCGGCCAAGAATAGAATGGCTGTAGAGGAGAAGAATTTGAAATTGGCTGGCAAATAACAACGTTAGATATTTATTATACGGCGAGAGATTTCATAGGCAATCAAATTACACCAAAAGAGTGATATGTAGCGAAGAAACTGCGCTGCAAAAAAAAAAAAAAAAAAAGGAAACATCACCTGGTTGGGCACTGTTTTCCTCCTGCATTTAGCGCAGTAACAAGAGCCATTGATGCCAAGCCAGAGAATTTTGCAGCCGAAACTTGCTTATATAAATTATCAAAAAGTCTTGAGCTCATCAGAGGAATGAACTTCACCACTCCCTCCATGACTTTACTCGCACCTTTCCAATCCGATCTGACACTTATTTGGTCAATCCTGTTTCCACGTGAGTTTATGGTGGAGGATTTACACGATTCCAAGCATCTATTGAAACAGCCAGATCATGCAAATTATCTTTGGGAAATTGCGTTTGCCCAAATTCCGCATGAAGCAAGTGTGCAAGTTGCCTTGATTATAGGGCTCGGCCGAACTCGTCTGTCTGGGCTTGCCCCACTCACTGCTTCTCCGATGGCTTGAATTGCTCGATTGAGGTGTTCCATTTCTGCGTCCTCTCAAAGTGGCTTCTAAATATGTTACTAAACGAGAAAAGATGTGGGCACCTTTGCAGAACTGTCCATGGGCATGGCTTTGACTGCCATGTTAGAGAGTCAGGTGGCTTCATCAAGGTCTTCCATAAATTAGCTTTGCTCGTATCGATTATGGAACAAGCTCCGAAGGTGGCTCAGTGGAGTGGCATAATGAACCTGCTCGGGAGAAGTTGCTTTCATTGCGGAAAGTGCGATCTGTACAGCACTACGGATATCATCTTTTATATTCTTGACTTAGAAACGTGTTTTTAGTTGTTCTAAAAGGCCTTTCAATGCAAAGACCTGGTCAGGATGACCCAGGGGTTTCCCTTCGTCGACTTGTCCACAGATTAAACTGTGCGATCGAGATCTCCCATCCCATACGGTGGAATCACCACGGTCTCGTATCTGCAAGAATCATCCAAAGACACGGCTACATGTGTCCGAGAAATAACTTCAATTGCATTGTCAGGTCCTCTGGATTTAATGATCATATAACTCATAAAGCGCCTATCTAGAGACATGCCGAGCATTATTATTATTTAATCAAGTTTATTGTCCATACCGAGCCCTAGAGCTATGACAGACCATTATCCGTGGACTTGAGGCCGTTAGCTATCCTACAGTCTCTTATCCATATAAGTTCCTGGGGCACTAGCCCCCTTCCATACTCTTTCTGATCCTTTTCCTCGCCCCAGACCGCCTGTTTGCGCAGGGCTTTCGAGCACTGTGCTCTCCTTGTGTTTCGTGCAGGATGGGTGCGGCCTAGGCTGACTTCAGCTCAGGCTACCCTTCCTGCTATCCTTCTCCTGTTCG